TCTCGGGGGGGGGGGGGGGGGGGGGGGGGGGGGGGGGGGGGGGGGGGGGGGGCCTGATCCGTTCCTCTGCAGGCCCAGCTGGTGGTGTTAGAGTGACACCCCACTCTCTTGACAGAGTTCAAGGCAGTCAGGACCGGGATCGGTATCGAGGCAGCCAGGACCGGGATCGGTATCGAGGCAGCCACGACCGGGATCGGTATCAAGGCAGTCAGGGCCCTTGAGAGAGTTCAACGCAGCCAGGACGGGGGGCAAGGTCCCACTTGCACGGATTAAGAGATTCTGGCCGTTGATCCTTGCTATCTACGGTCAATATCGCGTAATTCGTGTAAGTGGGACCTAGCCCCGAGATCGGGGTCGGGAACGGGTCGGAATCGGGGTCGGGATCGAGACCGTTTCCGTTACACCTCTGTTCACTTTTGCCTAGATCGGTATCGGCTCTCACGCATTCATTTGCCTCTCTTAACCTCTTCCTCCTCCTCCTCCTCGTCCTCCTCCTCCCCCTCCTCCTCCTCGTCCTCCCCTCCCTGGATTTCACACCCGGACAAACGGACGGTCCAGAATGAGACACGTCAGACCAGGAAAAGATCCAAGGTCTGCCATCGTTTCCACGCCATGTGATTTTACCCCCTTAGGCCTCGCTCCACTACTCTCGCAATGTGCAGAACGAAAGTGAATCTTCCGCTAGAAGATGGAAAGATACACCGCCATGATTTTTGTCTTTTGTGCATGTCGAGAATAGTGCAGCGAGGCCCTTGTTCCCGCTCCGACAAAGTGCGCTGCGCGCGGAGCGCGCGCTGTCAGAAGACAATGCCGTTGGTGGGACAGACAAGTTCCCCTTCTGCGCGAGGTTGCAGACCGCGCACGCGTCAGTTCCCCTTCTGCGCGAGGTTGCAGGCCGCGCGCGCGCGCGCGGTCGCGCACTTCGTGGTTCGTGCTCCTGCGCGCACACAAGTGCGATGCCACCGCGGGCACTGCGCGCCGTTCGTTCCCGCGCAGATAGACGGCATCGTCTTGACGCATGTAATCTCAGACTGCGAAGCGTAAAGCGGGCAGGGGGAGGCGGGAGGAGGCGGGGGGAGGTGGGCGGCGGGGTCATCGACGACAAGCGCACGAAAGCTAGAGGGCTGGAAAGTGCCAAGCGCCCCGGGGCTAGGTCCCACTTGCACGAATTAAGAGATACTGACAGTAGATATCAAAGATCAACGGTCTCCTAATTTGCGCAAGTGGGACCTTGCCCCCGACCTGGGAGAGAGAGAGGAGGAAGGATTAGGTTACGAAATGAGAAAATAGAGAGCGGGAGAGAGTGGACCGTACAAATCTTATCTACTGCGCGTCCCACGTCCACGTGGACAAAGGGTAGACACACACGTGTCACTCTCAGCAAACAGATCAGGAGTTCAAGTTCAAATTCTGCTGCCAATCAGATGACTGATAATATAAGTTTATATAACGGCAGGGGATACCGCTTGAAAGAAAGATGTTTGAGAGAGCGAGAGAAAAAAGGGAGAGGGAGAGAATGAAGAGCGCAGTAAGTGTTTACAGCCTGAACATCAAGCCATGTCACGTTGAGATCCCGATCAGCGGCGCGAGGATGAACCTAAGTCCTTACGCGATGAACCTAATCCTGAAACAGGTCGCCGTGAAGGGAGTGCAATACATAGCAGAAATGGGACGTGACCTGAACAAGAGAGGGGCGGGGGRGGGGGGGGRGGGGGAGGATGGGTGGGTTCCACAATCCCTAACCTTTCAACGAAGTTTCGTGTCCGAGGATGAGATCGGAGCAGCCGCCCCTCTAGTCTTCTCACCAGACGATATGATCGTCGCAATCCCAACACGTACGCCGTCACTGCCAGAACGGCTTCGGATATAACCATGGTGATCGCTAAGGCGATCCCAGTCCGATGACAGCGATCCCGATCCGAGGAACACAATGCCGGTCCAGATCTGATGATGGCGATCTCGACCTGGCGATGGTGGTGAATGATTCGAGATGATGACCGACGATGTACGGTGAATAAACACCGTCGTGATACCTTTCATACGCCAACTGGAAAAACAGACTCGACGGCATCGATTGCCGCACACACAGAGCGAGAGAGAGAGAGAGAGAGAGAGAGAGAGAGAAAGAGAGAGAGAGAGAGATCTGATGATGGCGATCTCGACCAGGCTCCTGCTGACCTGTACTGTGATACCGATCATACGTCAACTGGAAAAACGGACTCGACGGCATCGATTGCCGCACAGAAAGAGAGAGAGAGTGAGAGAGACGGATGGGTCACGAAACGCCTAACATGAGGTGCATCATAATCGGTACGGGTAGTTCATAACCGCTGCGGGTAGTGGATGCTCGCTCCCGGCAGCGCAGGAAGACACCGCGCACGCTTTTCCCTGGATGAATCTGGCCGTATTTCCGGTCAGTTACGTCCTGAGTAACGTCCTCACGTGATAGTGCCTAACCTTGTTGTAACGATTTGAGTGTCGGGAATATGCATGAACAGTGGCCTGTCTGGACAAGGACTGATGGTGGACAAGGACTGGTGGGCAACGTACTGAACCAGGAGCGAATACCGGAACGAGAATGAGGACATACTCACACGAGGACTTTTTCCACAAAGCTCTGGACGTGATGGTGGTCAGATAAATCCTGAGATCGCAGTAGTTGCAGTCAGATTCATTCTGGAAAGTGCTACAGTCTTCCCCCGAACAAAACGCACGTATGTACTATTCAACTTTCCCTGAAAACTCGATTTTTCGAAGAAGCCCTGAAAACTCGATTTTTCGAAGAAGCTCCCGAAAATCCGAATAGTACGCACGCGTGTACTATTTGAATAGTAGGCCTCTCTCTCTCTCTCTCTCTCTCTCTCTCTCTCTCTCTCTCTCTCTCTCTCTCTCTCTCTCTCTCCCCCCCCCCCCCCCCCCCCCCCCCCCCCCC